AATCAAAACAAATAATTTAAAATAATCAAACGCACCTTAAGACACACCTAAATGGGGCAAAATTGAAACAGTGGTGCGTTTCAACATTTTGTTCTTCATGTTGGACCGCACTTGGCCCACATTTAATACTTTATTATTTTCTGTTTTTAAAATTGAAAGCATAAAAATGGTGTGAATGGTGACTTTGTTTCGTCCCGCCCCTCAAAACGCCCAAACCACTCTACACATTCAAGGCCTAAATAGAATATAGTGGCGATTAGACTCTTAGTTATGATGAATTTTTGTTAAAATATTGTTGTATGAATATTATCTTAAAATTGTTATCATATGTACCAAAAACATCGTATAAAGAACAATGGTATTTGTGTTCTATTTAATTTAGTAACCAGCATCACAAATTTTTATTTTTACATATTATACCCAATTATTATAACTATATTAAAAAGAGCGACTGCCTCACAAATACTCAAATATCACGTTCGATTACACCAAAATTAATCTAAAGCTATTATTCGTACTACCACAAACAGAGAAAAAATGTTTCAATAGCAAATTAAGACGTAAGAAATCATATTAACACAGATATCTCTAATGGAAAAAAAAAACAAACATAAATGAGATATAAAACATATTAACTCTTTTTCGTTTTGTTTTGGGCACAAGGAACAAAGCTAGAGCCCATGATGAGCCTTAAGTCTGATATCACTGAACCTGAACTGTGTTTTTAAGTTCAGCATCTGATCTCATAAGAGCCGGCTTTCGTTATGTATCGAACCCACTCGACGGTGTTGTAACCGCTCTTCTCCCATACCTGTCAATCATTTCAGTTAACCAGTCAGGTCCAAAGAAAGAAGTTGAATTTTCGGTAGCTAACCAAGTAAATCAACTTTTTCAAGACTAGATGCAAGTGAAACAAGGCCAAATCACAATATAGTTCTGAACCGAATCTACGATACTTAGCATCACAAGTTTTGAAGGGATATACTTTCAAAAGCGTACCTTGAGAAAGCGGACTCGCAAACCAGATGCGGTGAACATTGGAACCTGGAAACAGAACGGTTAACAATCGCTTTATACAAATTGGTTCTAGTTAATGGTGCAAACAAGAGAAGAAGAGTAACCTGAAATTCCATTTGGATCGGTGGTCTTGTCCAAGATTTCTTTTCTCCCATTGTTGAGATCAACTCAATTTCTGCGCTTAGTGTGGACTCTGTTTGTCCTGGAAACTTTCTTATCCTAAAAGTAAAGAGAGAAGGCAAATTGTTAATAAAACACCAACCAGTGGAATTATAGATATGATTCTGAGGAAATTTCTTAAGAGGGTATATATAAACTCACTTCCAAACCAAGCAATCGATTGATGGATTGTACTTCGCGCGACCAGTTGTCACTTGGAAATTGGTCTTAGCTGTTTGTTTTGGCACTGGAATTTTAACTACAACCCCAAGTGCAAACATTTTAGCACCAAACACACTTTTGACCTGAAAAGAGAAAACACAGAATAGCTTGTAAGCGAGCAAAGATCGAGCCGCATTTTTTTGTTACTTTTAAACCTTGAGAAGGAAAGCTATGTACCTTGACATTTACTTCCATGCGTGTACGACCAAGTTCCTTGATTGTTGGTAATACGCGGAAAGGCAGATTCACGCCCTCTGTTATTCGATACCTGAGAGACATCACCATGTCAGTACGCCTTCGGGCCAGAACAATTTGCTAAAGCGATAGTCTAAAAACTTACTTCATCAGTTCAAATTCACCATCCGGTGGTACAAAGCTAACTGTCTTCTCAGAGTTGAATCTTGTCAGGTTCACACACTGGTGAAATGTGACATCATCAAGCTCAATGGTTTTACCACTGCACAAAACAAAAGCGAGTCAGCGAGCACAAAGAAAGGTCAGTGGCTAGTGTGGATCACTGTTTTAACAAAACCAACCTCTTAGCTGGGCGAGATTTCATTTCTGATTCCTTCTCAAGACCAATTTTATCATTCAACCCCAACTTCAGATCAGGCATTCCCGAAAGAAAACATTTCATTAAGACTTTCCCCGTTACATCACACCGAAGGACATTGCCTACAAGTTGCCATAATGAGCAAAAAAGTCATACAAAGAGAACCAGGAAGAAATAAACCTTAAAAAAGACGCAATTATTTACCTTTAGAAGACATCAGAAGGTTTACACTTTCCACAATATCCAGAAACACCTGCAATAGTGGAATGCATCATATCAACATTTCCGCACAATCTACCAAATAAATACACACAAAAAGAAACTCAACTCTTACCTCATTCTTTTTATAAGCAAGTCCTTCTCTTCTCCAACCAACAGCACCTGTAACTTGTAATGTTGCATTTGGAACAGGCTTGTCTTTCGGCTGTTTTCAAATTTTTACATATTAAAAGAACCTTATGAATGAAAACTAACAAAGCAAAGAAGTATCATAAATCTGAAATACTGCTTCACTTGCAACACAATTCAAATCTTTTGTATGCACACATGAATAGATAGATGCTCATACCTTTGATGAAAACGGTGACCGTACACCTTCCTGAGTAATGTAAAGCTTCAAAATTTCAGGGGACAGATTTTGTGGATAGCCAAAGTCCATAATCTCTGCAATTCCATATACAACATCTATTATTGCTATGGTATTTCCACAAAATAGAACAGTAATTAAACGAATCATACAACTAAACAGATTTTAAAGAAAGAAACTTGATCATGACACTATCACGCTTACTTACCATCCAACAATTCATAAATCAGAACAAAGTTATTTCGGATAGCATCTTCATCAAACGCTCCACCAAAGTATGATTTGAACAAAGCAACAGCCTGAATACAAATCAAAAGCAGTAGTAGCTAAGTCAAATCTGAATCTCTTAAACATTTCGACAAAGAACCAAAACTATTTTGGAAAAATTGCAAGTGAAACTAAAACCAAAGTTTTACCTCAACAACGAATTTGAATCCACAAGCTACATTAGCATTGCTACTAACAACAATCACAATGTAGACATTGCTGATTCTCATATAGACAAAGGAACAGCCACCAATCTGACGCACAGGACAATTCCCTAACTCTTTAGTCTGCATTATATGCGTCCGAAATGCATCCACCATATTTCCCCTAAACAATCAAATGAGAAATTAGAATAGCTCGAAATAAAAAATCTCAAAATCCCATAAGCTAAAATCCAACGAAGTGGACTACTTAGAAGCGATAGAACAAAATACATAAGCTGAACAAATGTAGCGGAGTTTCTCAAATCCTCAAACCAAAATCGGAAGGTTAAAACAAAAGAGAAGCTATCTCACCCGACGTCATCTCTGTATGTGCGATTGATGAGTACATCGCCACGGAGATTCAGAAAGTAGATGGCGGAAGCAGCCACCGGCATCTTCGATACAAGCGGTTTCGAAGCACAGATCGATTAAACTTACGTTGAATCCAACAATCAGACGAGCTGATTTCTGGAGATTTTGAGAGATTCAAATCGAGAGATCGACGAGATCTCGAGTCGGAAGGAGGAAGAAGAAGACGACGACGACGAAATCGAACAACTGAAATGCGAAGTTAATTCTTTTATCAAAAATAAAACGAAAATTCGTCTTATGGAAATGGGCTGGGCTAATGTAATTCTAATATAATTGGGCCTGTTTTATTTGATTCTATGCCGTTGGATCTTAATTGTTATCCTATTGAGATTTCTGAAATTACATTTTAGAAAGCTGTTGAAAACAAAATCGTTTTAGGAAGTAAAGTAAAGTTGTAAGAGAAATTATTTAAAATTGCCACATTTTTTAAATCTTTACAAAAATTTTACTTAAAAAATAATAATAATTCATTATATCATTTATGTTTGGGTTAACTATGTTATATTATGATTTAGTTTTGAGGGTTTAAAGGATTTTAGGGGTCAAAATATTTTTTGAGTTTATAATTTTAAGAAGTAGGCTTTAAAAATCCATAAGTAGTGGTATTTTTGCAAATAGACACCCCTAAGTGGCATTCTTGCAAATGTACACACTAAAAATGACATTTTTGCAATTGCTCCAAGTTGTAAACTTAAATGGAGTTTACACTATTTAAAACTCACTAAAACTTTAGTCCCTTCGTTTTATTTTGATTGAAGTTTTAAGTTTTTCACACATATTAAAAAAATATTTAATTTTGACTATAAATACATTTTTGCGTAAATTTTTTTTCTATAACTTAAACCAATAATATATATATTTTAAACGTCTGGTTCTTATTAATATTATAAAAAAACAGAGCATAGATCAAACAACAATGTCAAAAACCAAAGAAACATGAACACCCAATAATAAAGGCCAAAGATGTTATCCTAAAATTTCACGATCAATAAGAACTAGACGTTTAAAAAAAAACTCAATAATAATTCAGTAAAA